GCCGGGCCAAGGATGACATCAAGAAGGTGATGGCGACCATCGAGAAGGTCCGGAGATGGTGAGCGCTGCCTCGGGGCCAGGGACGGGACACGGCGGGCCACTGCTCCCCCAGATACGTCTACCTTTCCTTCGTCAGCTATGGCCCCCAGGTGTTAGGTGTGCCCCCAGCTGCGCCCCGGATCTGCAGGGCTCTGTCTTCTGGCTACACCCTAGGGTCCACAAAGCGTGTTCCCCAGCCCTGCCCTCCCAGAGCTGAAGCCCCCTTTTTTGCCCCGCCCCCTGAAGCTTTGAAGCTTTGACACTCCTCCCTCAAGTGTGCCCCGGGATCTTCATTGCCATGGTCCCCAGCCAGGCTCACAGTCGTGCTTTAGATGTATACAACCCAGGTTTCTGCAGAGCTGCTACCCCAAACCATACTTTCTAGAGGTATGCCCATCCATGCCCTTGGGTCTGCAGTGTTTCTCCCATTAGCAAAACTGCCCCTTCCCTCGTGCTTCACCCCCACTTCTACAGGTTTCCCCAGTTGTATCCAGTTCCTGGGGTGGCTCTCTCCTCAGGCCTCTCTGACTCAGTCCCCCCACCTTCCCACAGGGAGAAGCGCTGGGTGACTGTGGGCGACACTTCCCTTCGTATCTTCAAGTGGGTGCCAGTGGTGGACCCTCAGGAGGAGGTGAGCAAGCTTCCCCCATTAGGCCCTGCATCTGTGCCACTCAGGCAAGCCCCTCCCCACCTTGCCTCCACCTCCAGTCCCTACTCAAGACCTGGAGTGCAGCGGCCCACACACATGTTAACAATTATTTGCAACTCCACCTCTTCCTTTTCCCCCACCACCAAACACACAGCCCCTCAAGACCTAACCCAGCGTGCACAACCTGTCACCTAATGCAGGGCCTTTTGCTTTCTGTGCCTCGGTTTCCTTCTTTGTACAGTGGGGCTTTACAAGCGAACTAGAAAGCAGACTCTGACCCTTAGCCCTCTAACCCCCAGGAGCGTCGGAGGGCAGGTGGCGGGACAGAGAGATCCCGAGGCCGGGAGCGGAGGGGCAGGGGTGCCAGTCCCCGAGGGGGTGGCCCTCTCATCCTGCTGGATCTCAATGGTATGTAGGGATGCTGGGATTTGGGGGGCTGTGAGGATTGAGGGAGGGGACTGGGGGCCTCATGCCCAACCCTTTTGGCTTTTGCTCCCACAGATGAGAACAGTAACCAGAGTTTCCATTCGGAAGGCTCCCTGCAAAAGGGCACAGAGCCCAGCCCTGGGGGCACCCCCCAGCCCAGCCGCCCTGTGTCACCTGCTGGACCACCAGAAGGGGTCCCAGAGGATGCTCAGCCCCCACAGCTGGGCCAGGAGAGAGGTAGGACCAGGTGCCTCCCATGAACCCGCTCCTCTGAGTTTTGTCCTGTCCAAAGCTGAAGCCACTAGCTTACCCCTCTTTCTGCTCCCCATCCTGTGTTGTCTCCTTGGGAACTCTTCCCTGAGTCCTGTGGAAAGTCACTGCCCCTCCTCTAGGGACTGTCTTTCTCCTTCCTCTAGCTTCTTGGGTCTGTAGATGACTTTGCACTGAGATTTTCATGTAAATTTAGCCATTTACCAGTTAAATATCTTTCTCTCCCACTCCCACCTCATATCAGCTTCCTGAATGTTGGGCCTATGTTGATCTTGTTTATTACTGTATCCTTGGAACACCATGGGACACATAGTAGGTGCTCAGTAAATATTTGTTGAGGAATAAATCATTGTGATAATCAGAAGTGATTAATTTAAAAAGTGATTAATAATAAGTGATAATAACAGCTAATACTTATTGAGCTCTTATTGTGAGCCAGGCACCCTTCTAAGCACTTTACGTGTTTTATCTCATTTACTTCTCACTACAACCCTATGAGGGTTATGATCTCCATTTATAGATGAGAAACCGAAACCCGGAGAGGTTAAGTAAGTTGCCCAAGCTCACCCAGCTAGTGAGCCAGGATCTTGGGCATGAGTCCTCCTCAGCTCCTCTTTCTTCCCATATAGTCAGTCTCTGTCTGGTCAGATCCACCTCCCAAGTGTGTCTGCTTTCCTCTCCCTCCCCCGGCTCTGTCAGCTCTCTTACCTGCACCTGGTTCCAGCCTTCTCATGGGTCTCCTCTCCTCCAGTTGCACCCACACAACTACCAGAGCACAAGTTTGATGGGTCATTTTCCTGTCTCAAAGCCTTCAGTGGCTCCCTCTGACTTTTGACTCCTCAGCTTGGCTTGGTACACACGTTTGTCCTTTTATCAAAATAAAAACAATGATTGGCATTTATCAAGCACTTACTATGTGCCAGACGCTGTACTAACAGCTTTTCCTGTGTGAGCTCATTTAATTCTTACAACAGTCTCACATAGTAATTACTGTATTATCCCCATTTTATGGATGGGAAAACAGACTTAGAGAAATTCAGTCACTTTTCCAAGGTCAGGATTTGAACCTAGGCAGTCCAGCCCCAGAATCTGCACTTGCTAAGCATATGTTCCCTCCGCTTGAAGTGTGCTCCGCCTCCCCACTTGTCTACCTGATCGAATCTACTCACCCATCAAGCCCCTACCTGAATGTCCTTCCTGTGGTTTCTTCCTGGACTGCAGCCAGGTGTCCAGCTCCCTCCACAGTGCTCCCACAGGCTGTGGGCTTATGTGTTTGGTGTTTGTTTCCCTCCTGGTCTGCTATGTATGGAGCAGGTGCTCAGGGAATGTCTGTTAACTTGATGTTCCAGATCCTGGGGGCATAACTGCAGGCGGTACGGATGAGCCCCCAATGCTGACCAAGGAGGAGCCTGTTCCGGAATTGCTGGAGGCTGAGGTGAGAGAGGCCAGAGGGCTGGATTCCCAGGTCTTGGAGGGAACGGGAGCTCTGGGATAGCCAAAGGCTTGGGGGCTGCACTCTTGAGGTCCAAGTGGGAAATGTAGACCTTGGACGCAGCTGAAGTCTTATAGGAGGGGTTCTTGGGACTAAAAAGAAAAGGGTGTTTTAGAAACAAAGTCCTGCAGGCTGGATCGGGGCTGATTTAAGACCATTAAAAGCCTGAAAAGATCATGGTGCTCCTCCAAGTATTTTTTTTTAAATCCTAAATTATGTAATTAGCTTAAGAAAGTCCCTCACAGACTTCTGACTTTTTCCACAAGGACTACCTTGATGCAGTCTCCAGAAATATCAAATATCAACTTCTTTCCCCCAAACAGTGTTGTTGTTTCCGGCGCCCTACATCATCTGTGTCCTGGGGCCCTGGCCCTGGGCTAGACTCCCAGGTCTGGGAGGGGAGTAGAGTGGAGGCTTTGGAGAAGGCAGAGGCTAGGAGGCTGCACTCCTGGGTTTGGGTGGAGCTCACGCCTGTCCACCCTTCCTCTCCAGGCCCCTGAAGCTTACCCCGTCTTTGAGCCAGTGCCACCTGTCCCTGAGGCAGCCCAGGGTGATACAGAGGACTCGGAGGGCGCCCCCCCACTCAAGCGCATCTGCCCAAATGCCCCTGACCCCTGAGAAGCCGGCCTGCCTGTCCTGTCACCCCAGGGGCCCCTTTGGCTTTTTACAAATAAAGACCCTTTTATAATTTTGTGTCATGTTGTTTCCCCATCAGGGCTGGGAGGGTCTTTGGAGACAGTTTTGTCTCATGCTCCATTTCTCAGATGGGGTCACTGAGGCTCTAAGAGGACCTACCTATAGTCACACCATGAGTCAGACATGGAATGGGGGTTTGAGCCAGGACCCTGCTCCCCAGTACTCCCTCTACCCTGTTCTCCTTACCTTTGACCCTTCCTGAACTTCAGTCCTCCTCCTCTAGGAATCCCAGGACCCCTTGTCTTCCTGCTCAGCCCTCCCCTGGGCCCAGCAATTACCAGAGCTCTGGGCAGCTGGGCCCATGATTCCCACATGTACACAGGAACACGGAGGCCCAGAGGGACTTTGGGGCCTGGGATGATCTAATCTGTTCTCTGCCCTCAGGAAGCTACAGCATCGTGCCTCCCTGCCTCTGCTTAGCCATTCCTCCACTAGCACCCCTGCCTGCCTTTCTGGTTGAATCTTAATTGTCCTCAGCTTAATGACTACCTCCTCCAGGAAGCCTTCCCTGACCGCAGGCTCAGTCGTTTTCCCCCCTTTTGGACTCACACAACCCTGTGTGCTTCTTTCCCTTTGTCTCAGCATTTATCAGGCTGTTTGGGGATGATTGGTTTGTGCGTCTGTCTTGTGCACTAAACTGTGGGCTCCTGAGAGCAGAACTTGGTCTCAGCTTTGCCTGGTACCATACTAGGTATAGAGCAGTCCTAGCAACTGTTTGGTAAATGAATGAATTAATGAATGGGCTAAGGGTCTCCAGGAAGGCTTCTCTGAGGAGGTGGCACATGAGGTTGACTCTTGAGACATGAACCTCAGTGTGGTAGCTCTGAAGTCAGAGGTCCTGGTTCAAGTCCTGGCTCTGTTACTCACTAGCTGTGTGGCTCTATGCTGGCCATTTCCCCTCTCAGAGCCTTAGTTTGTTCATCTGAGCAGTGGCTGCATCTGCCCCAGTGGTTTGTGGGAACCTTTAAACAATATAAGGTACTTTCACTCTGTGCCTGCAAGAGAGTCAGAGTCCAGTGTATTAGCCTTATTTTTATTTTTAACAGAAGAAGAGACTGAGGTTCAGAGGACCAAATTGAAACTTTAAAGAACTTTTTAAAAATTTAAGAGTATTTCCTGATAACAGCTGCAGTAGTAATATTTGAGCCAGGGCTGGCCAGGGAAGCCACATGTGCAGTGATGTGGTATATTCGTTTCTTGTTGCTGCTGTAACAAATTACCACAGTTTTAGTGACTTACTGTTCTGGAGGTCAGAACTCCAAACTTAGTCTCAGTGGGCTAAAGTAAAAGTATCAGCAGGGCTGGTTCCTTCCAGACGCTGTAGCGAGGAGTCTGTTTCCCTGCCTTTTCCAGCTTCTGCAGACCACCTGTGTTCCTTGGCTTGTGGCCCCTTCTTCCATCTTCAAATCCAGGGAGTGTAGCTTCATCTAAACTCCCTTTCTGTCTCTGCTTCCATCCTTACGTCTTCTCTGACTCTCCTGCCTCCCTGTATTAAGGACCCTTGTGATTACATTGGACCCACCTGGATAATCTAGGCTGATCTTCCCATCTCAAGAGTCTTAATTTAATCACATCAGCAGAATTTACAGGTTCTGGGGACAGGCGTGGACATCTTTGGAGGGCCATTATTCATCTTCACCACATCTCAGCCATTTTCTGGGTGTGTGGGTCATCTCATTATCCTAAAGAGTCACCCCATGTGGTGACGAGCATGCTCTGTAAAATGTAAAGTGCTTTGTATATATCAGTAGTACAGTGTTAAGGCCTAGAATTCAGGCTCTGGGTTTGAATCTCAGCATCTTCATTCACTCACTGTGTGGCTTTGAGCAAGTGACTTAACCTCACTGTGTCTCAGTTTTCTCATCTGTAAAATGGAGGTGTTAGTAATATCAGCCTGGTGAGACCACTGTGAGGATTAAATGAGACAGTATATGGAGAGCAAGTACCTTCACTTGGTACATAGTAAGTGCTCACTAAATAGTGGTTGCTTTTTCCTATTACCCTATTTTACAGATGAGGATATTAGGGTGTAGGGGTAGAGGCCAGAGACTCACCTGTCAGCCCTCAAGACTGGGGAGGAAGAGTCCAATTCTGAGTAGACTTGAAAGGCTAAAGTCTTCCCCATTCCTGTCCCTCTCCTGGCCCAAGGTCTCAGTCCCCAAGCATCTGTCCCTTAGCCCAAGCCTGCCCTCATCCCTTCTGTGGTCCACTCTGTGATCTGGTTTAAAAACTGCCTCTTCCACAGCCACATCCCTGACTGTCACCTTGCCATTCCCTCCCCACACCCTCCCAACGTCCATACTCTCTTTTTGGAAATTCTTTACCCTTGGCTCTCGGGCCCTAGCTTCAGCACTCCCCTAGTCTCTTCCCCTTTGTCACTCTCCTTTTCCTGATCCTTTAAATATCTCTTCTCTGGGCTAGCTGTTCTCTCCATCCACATTCTCCCTGCTAGGTCCCGCCTGCCCCTCGAATTAATGGTTCCCATGTCTCTGTCTCCAAGTTCTGCCTCCTACCTCCAGACTCAGAGCCAGATGCCTTCACAACATCTCCACTGGGATGTCCTGCAGATCCTCAGCATCATCCTCCTAACTGTTCCCAGCATCCCCTCTGATTTTTTCCAGAAATGGCCCACAATCCCAGGAGCAGCCTAATATGGGACCACCAGAAGTCAGAGTCAACATGCCATGAGCCACCCTATCCCACTGAGTTCCAGTCCTAAGTAGCCCTCCCATCTGCCCCTTTCTTAGGGCCCCACTGTTTTGCTGGGTGCCTCCCAGTGAGTCTCCCTGCTTCAGTCTTGCCCATCCTCAATCCATTGTCCACTCAGCAGCTGGGTAGAACCCGAATCTGCCCATGACACTGCTGGGGGTTAAAACCCTCCAGTTCCCTCATCACCTGTAGGATGGACTCACGCTCTGCCTCTTACCCCACCCGTGCACAGCTACCCTTGGAACTGCTTATAATCGCCCCCAGACACCCTCTGCTCTTTCGCACCTCTACGGCTTTGCTCATGTCGTTTGCTTGGCCAGATGTGCCTTTCTCATCCCTCTTAATCTGGGAGATGTCTTCTTGTTTTCCTAACCTCAGCTTCCTGGTGTGGCCTTCTCTCCTGTCCTTACCCCCTGCCCCTCCTCTGCTGTTTCTCGGCACATCGGCTATTCCTTGTGATGGTCTGTGTTGGCTTCCGTCTGCAGCACCAGCCCACGAGCTCCACGAGGGCAGGGAAATTCCTTTATTCAGCACTGCATGTGTTTATTGTGTATTTACTGTTTTCTGGGTGCTATTTTGAGCCCTGGGATACAGCATAAGCAAGATAGAAAAAAGTCCTTGCCCTCATGGAGCTTACCTTCAGTACATTATATCATATGTAGGAAGTTATAAGTACTTTGGTAAAAACAGAGTAAGGGAGGTGGGGAAAGATAAGATTGTGATTTTAAATAGGGAGGTCTGGGAGGCCTGACTGAGGAGACATTTGAGGAAAAGCTTGAAGGAGGTGAGGGAGAGAGTCATCCAGATATCTGGGCGAAGGGCATTCCAGGAAGAAGCTAAGGCCAGTGCAAAGGCCCTGGGGGGGGAGCATGCCAGGAAATGAGATCAGTGGCTCTGGAACAGAGGGAGGGAGGGACAGAGCAGTGGGAGGTGAGGTCAGGTCAGGTGGGGCCTCAGGCAGGACAGACACATAACCTGTCATTCAAACCTGGAGAATAAAAAGAGGACATATTAATAATTATGCCCAGATAACAGGTAACCTGGGGTAACCGGGATGTGTGGTTGTCCTGCTTGGAGGCCACTGTCAGGACTGTGGCCTTTATTCTGGGTGAGATGAAGAGCTATTGAAGTGGTGTCAGCAGAGGAGTAACATGATCAGACTTAGAGGGGTTTTTTTTCTTTATATTTTATTATAAAGAATTTTAAAGTTTGCAGCAAAGTTGGAAGAATTGTACAGGTAACACCGATATACCTACTGCCTAGACTCTGTAACATTTTACTGTATTTGCTTTATCACATATCCATCTGTCTATCAGTCTTTCTTATATTCTTGATACATTTTGAAATAAGTTGCAGACAGTGGTATATTTCTTAACACTTCAGCATGCACATCGTTAACTAGAGTCCAGTATTTATTTACAGGTTTTCTTTTCCTTTGAGGCAAACTAGCCACATAACAAAATGCACAGGTGTTAACTGTGATCCAGGGAGTTTCAACAAATGCATAATCTACATAATGCAAGCCCTTATCAACTACATCACTATGTCCCTGGAAAGTTTCCTGCTGCCCCTTCCCTGTCCCCAACTCCCAAGAGGCAGCACTGCTCTGATTTTATTTTTGATTAGGTTAACCTGATCTTGCTCTTCACATTCATGGAATTACACAGTATGTACTCCTTTGCATCTGTTTTCTTTCACTCAGCAGAATGTTTCTGAGAGGCATCCACACTGTTCCTTTCTGTTGCTGGGTTATATGCCATAGGCTTGTCTTTGACTAGGATTGCTCTTCTGGGTAGGGAACAGATGAGTCCAAGTCTTCTCCCTGTTTCTAGCTCCCTGTACAAGCCTGTCAAGCCTGGGGCTCAGAGCCCTGGATGAGTTCACTCCAGGGAGATGGATAACCTTTTCTCAGGGAACTTTCTAGAATGTAGAGTCTATGGCATCGTTCCCCAGAAATCTGGGGAGACAGAACTATATCAGCAGTAGGATCTTAAGTGGCCCAGCTTTCTGGTTTGCCCAGGACTTTCCTAGTGTTGGCCCTTCGAGTCCCATTCCCAGGAATCCCTCAGTCCTGGGCAAACTGGGATAGTTGGTCACCACAGCAGGATCCCACCACTGCCTGGGGCCCTAACCTCCAAACTGGTCTGCTGCTCTTGTGCTCTAAAACTTCCCATGGTTCCCCACGGCTTTGCCTGGCAACCCAAAGGATGTACACAGCCTACAGCAGTGGTTCTCAAACTTTGCTGCACATTGGAACTACGTGGGAAACTTTTTGTTGTTAAT